TATGAGAAGAACATACTTCCCCAAATCATGGGTTGAAAGAAACGTCAAAATATAGAACATACTTCCCTACAACTTTTGAAATTATTGCAAGCCAAGATCTTTCTTCAATTGAGCGAGAGTTGCTTCGATCTCATCAATATTGTCTTCTATACTGTTCTTCGTGCTATTATTACTATTCCCTGGCGATTTCTCTGTTGAGGAGCTTTCGTCAAAATCAAATCCTTCACCGTTTTTGTTTGATCCGTCATTTTCCTCATCGCTTATGTTAAGCTCTTTCTCAAGAAACTCCACAAATTCTTCCCCAATTTCCTGAGCAAAATAAGAAAAGAAAACATGAGGAATCAAAAGGAGCCAAGACCGGTTTTAGTATAGTCTAATATTCATCAGAATTCAGAACCGATCATCATGAAAATCCGTTGATGGACAAACCAAAAAGACAATCTCAGTTTAGACATTACCATTTTGAAAGAACAAAAAGTCTAAAACCAAAACAGAGGAAACACGTTACTATAGAATCTGCATTTTCCGGATTGACGCCTACTACTACTACACAAACAATGAGGGATAGTGTCCTTGAATGAGGTTTTTAATTACAAGGTTTATTGAAAAAATCAGCAGACTAAACTCGTTAAAGCAGAGGGAAGATCCAAGCTTATATATAAAGCCACAAATTTCAAACATTAACCACTCCGGGTTATCAGTGTTTTTTATATTATCGGACTTACCGATAGTTCCTCCCAAAGACTTTTCGGTTTTCCTTGTGAGGACGCACTAGCTTCCCAGTTCTTAAACTCTTCTTGAAGATCTTTGAAGAAATCCCCTGTCAATACCATAGAAAGTGAGCCTCTACACAAACAATGAATTACAATTATACAATGTCTTGTGCATAAAATCTTTCGACGTGCAGAAAACCAATCTAACGACAGAAAGAAAATTGATTTCACAGATTTGACTCTACCGATTGTTATTTGAACATCCCTCACGAATTCACCTGCATAATAAAGTGTGCTGTGCATAAGATCACAATGACCTCAATCAACCTAAGTCCCTCAAAAGATGACAACACATAAGAGAGAACACCGCACCACACTTCTAACCAAAGCAGTTGAAAGCAACAAATGGTGCCTAGCACTCACACTAAGTTTCCAAAACACCATGAATATTTTCACAAACCCTATATAGCATTGGTGTTTGAAATCCTTAGTGAATTTCCGCAACATGTTCAAACGAGTCAAGCCATAGTTTAGCATTGCATTTAGCACAGAGCAAGATTCTTAGATTCTTCAAATGACCACAATTCATTACAACTTTATGGTGTTTTAAGGGGTGGGTTAAGGTTTTACCAAGTCCATAGAAATCTTCCTCGATTTGACTGTCGCTTTTTCTGCTTGTTTGACCCGTCGAATATGAATAACCAGACGCGCGACTATCGGATCCATATTTACGCCGTGACTCAGAGTTTATCAAAGTGGTGTATGCATGCTTTATCTTCAGAAACTTCTCCTGCGCATTTGCCTGTACACAGAAAACAGCCTGGTATAAATCCCACTTCCTTCCACAAAAGATACAGATTAACTAGTTTCAGTCCAGCAACCAAACTACAAGTAGGCATAGATATACACACATACACACATGAAGACACCATACAATTCCATGCCTTTGTATGTATATACAAATATGTAAGCATTCATATGATAAATCCAATTCCATGACTTTGTATGTGTATACAAACATATAAGCATCCATATATAGTTCTAATTCCATAAAGTTCACAAAACATAACCCATACAAATTTGATTTCATTGAAAATAAAAACCTCTTTATTAACATCTGGGTGATACTTAAGAGCAAGTTTACGGTAAGCCCTTTTTATATCTTGAGGAGTCGCTGATGGAGACACACCAAGAACCTCGTAAGGAGAAGCTCTAGCTCTCGCTACCATGATTCGATTTCTCCGTCTTTGATCACAACTCCGCCGTTTATAAAACGAAGCGCGACCAAAATCGCCGCCATAGCAGCAATTTGTTACAGGAAAACCCAGAAAATTGAACCGATAAAGTAACGAAATTGGAGGAAGATGAGAAGAAAGGAAGAAACTTTGTGGTGTTGGAGACAGAATCGAAGATGTTGTTGCATACATAGTTTTCTCTGGGCTCATTGGATCGATATTCCCCCTTTTTGGGCAATCGAATACGGTTTAGGTTCAACCGCTTCTCTAATTTTCCGGTTATTTCTTAACCGTAGCATTTTTACCGATTCATACCGTTTATCTGGTATTAACGATAGTCGTTAACTCTGTTCTGCTTCTTCCTCCTCTGTCCGATAAAATGGGGAACTTTAACTTTCTTCATTGCAATGTGTTAAGACTTTTGTCGTTCACTGTAATCGACCATTTTAATGCGGGTTTTGATGAGTTTTGAAGCTTTGATCCTCACTTATGAACAAATTCTCCATCGTACCCTGTTCTTTTCGGTTATTGTCAATCGGTTCTTATGCTGAGATCATCGAATCCAACGGTCGAGATCGACTAATACGCCAAGGAAGAAAGCTTCATAGTCATCTGGTGATATCTGGGATTGCTCGCTTGACGAGAATTGCAGCTAAGCTTGTAGCTTTTTACGTGGAATGTGGGAAAGTTACAGATGCTAGGAAGGTGTTCGATGAAATGCCTAAGAGAGATATTAGTGGATGGGTTGCCATGATTGGGGCTTGTGCTCGAAACGGGTATCATCAGGAGTCTTTGAATATCTTTAGAGAGATGAATAAAGAAGGTTTAAAACTTGACGCTTTCATCGTTCCTAGCCTTCTTAAAGCCAGTCGCAATCTGCTTGATCACGAATTCGGGAAGATTATACATTGTCTGGTGCTGAAGTGTTCGTTTGAGTCTGATGCTTTTATAGTTAGTTCTCTTATTGATATGTACTCGAAGTTTGGAGAGGTAGAGAATGCGAGTAATGTATTTAGCGAGTTGGCTGAACAAGATTTGGTCGTGTTCAATGCTATGATCTCTGGTTATGTTAACAACAGCCAATCAGATGAGGCATTGAACTTGGTGAAAGATATGAAACTGATGGGAATAAAACCTGATATTATCTCTTGGAATGCTCTAATCACTGGATTCTCGCATATGGGCAATGAAGAAAAAGTATCTGAGATTTTTGAGATGATGTGTTTGGATGGTCACAAGCCCGACGTTGTGTCCTGGACTTCAATTATATCAGGGTTTGTACATAATTTCCAAAATGAGAAAGCTTTTGATGCTTTTAAACAGATGTTAACTCATGGCTTGTATCCAAACGCAGCTACAATCACTTCCCTTTTGCCTGCTTGTACCGCACTCATGAATGTGAAACACGGGAAGGAGATTCACGGCTACTCGGTAGTCACTGGACTAGAAGATCATGGTTTTGTCAGAAGTGCTTTGCTCGATATGTACGGGAAATGTGGATTTATATCAGAAGCAGTGGTCTTGTTTTGCAGAACGCCCAAGAAGACAACAGTTACTTTCAATTCGATGATCTTCTGTTACGCAAATCACGGGCTCTCAGACAAAGCAGTTGAGCTATTCAATGAAATGGAAGCCACGGGAGAGAAACTCGACCACTTAACATTCACTGCCATTCTCACAGCTTGCAGCCACGGCGAGTTAACTGATCTTGGACAAATGCTGTTCCTTTCGATGCAAAACAAGTACAGAATAGAGCCGAGATTGGAGCATTATGCTTGTATGGTGGATCTTTTGGGCCGAGCAGGGAAGCTTGTTGAGGCCTATGAGATGATCAAGGTGATACCAATGGAGCCTGATTTGTTTGTATGGGGTGCTCTGTTAGGCGCGTGTAGGAAACACGGGAACATAGAGCTTGCAAGGATCGCAGCAGAGCGGTTAACAGAGCTCGAACCCGAGAACTCAGGGAATGGTTTGCTTCTATCAAGTTTGTATGCCAATGCTGGTAGTTGGGAAAGTGTTGTT